AAAAAGAAAATAAATAAATAAACTAAGTAACATTCTCATTGGGAAACATCCTGTTGAAAAGCCTGTCTTTTGTCAGAAAAGTAAATTAGTTAGGGTTGTTGACGAGATAAGTTGATGTAAATGCAGGGATGTCCTGGGAGGAAACGTGTTGAATTAATAAAAAAAAAGTGTTCATATCACATGTTCATGTCAGAAGGGCCCATTCCCCGTTTATTCTTAAATTTGATTTGGAATCTCAAAAATTTAAAGTTTAACAAGGAACAGACTGCCCTGGTTAACCATTAAGGAATTCACAAGATTGTATTGTCAAAGCAGTGTTCTTTAAAAATTATTTTAAAAAATAGGCAGAAATATCTTACAATAAGCATTTGTATTGTATTCAGATAATGCAGTAATTTGTACAAGAGATAAAGAGTTAAGAAGCATAGTTAACTCTGTTTTAATTTTATTTTCTCCCATAATAATCCAAAGTTTCATTGCATCCAATACTCTAAATTTTGTTTAAATGCTTCTTATTGTTTGTTGTCTTTTTTTTCACTTGAAACATAAAAGAATATCAAGTGATGCAATTTTTGTCAATTAATTATTACAATTATTATTAAATCATTTTAATATTAGAGCAAACAACCCTAGAGGGAATAATTGAAGGATTCCCTTCAGGTTTTTAATTTCTACTTGCTTATTGTTAAATGTCCTAAAATTGTGGGTTAGCAGTTAAAACAAAGCATTTTGCACTGCAAGCTCAGCGCACAGAAAGACAAGGGGGTGAGTGTTTCTATATAATCTGTCATTTACTAAAATTGCTCTTGGGCTGTCCTAAATCTCTACAGGCCTAAACTGTAACTGCTGTGATCAGCACATCTGAATAACAGTAAACAATCACATCACATACAGATATAAACACACAAACAGGCAAAGGCTTAATGATCAACTCTTTTCACCAGTTTTTGTAATTTATTTTTTGAACAATTACTGCTCAGATGCTTAGATTACTTAGCTTTTTTATGTAGCTTTCTCTGTTTTGGTTTTCCTTCCTTCGCTCTCTTTGTCAGGAGGAACACTCACCACTGATTTTCAATTTGTTTTTACCACAGTGCCTGATTATTCTCTCTGCTGTTGGCTAACTCTACAGACAGCTTTGTTTGTGTGTGTTAGGTGGCGTGTCTTACTATGTGTGTGTGTGTGCAGGACATAAATTAACTATTCATGTGTATATGCATGTCCCTCTAGGTTTGAATCTGTGAAGTCTATGTGTGCATTTATGTCTGTTAGTTGTAAACATCACTTGATGAGAAAAATTTGTGTTTTGGACGACTGTCCTGTTGTTCAAACACAAAAGTAAAATGTCTTTCAGTGCACTGATAACGGCTCTAGCTGACAAAGCTGCTTTCCATGTGGGGTCTAATCCACAGAGACAAACACTCTTACACACACATACGCCCACACACGTTTCTGTAATCCTCACTCGTCTGCTTTCTCTCATTGTCTGAGCTTCCTTTCTCCGGGATGACACTTCAAAGCCGCGGTGACATCACGTTTTGTATCTGCCCCTGCAAACTGCTCAAAAAAATACTTTAAACCCCAAAAGTCTTTGGTCTCAATGTCTCCCTTTGCGGATGGTGCTCAAAGCCTGTAAGCTCTCGCACTTATGGTGTCCTAATGCACTTCATCCACATGTGACGTTCTGTTCTTCACGGCTAAAGGAGAGGTGCAGGGAACAAAGTGCCTGCATAGATGTTGTTGCCAGGCTTTCAGTGTCTTGGAAAACAAAACAACACAGAAGTAAGATTTCAGCTGTGCAACTCAATGACGACTCAATTGGTATATCTACCATCTTAATTTGAGCTCCCACAATGGATGTTCACCCTGCTTCTAATTGATACCCAGATCTATTTCCAATACTGAATTGTTCTATTTTCCTTTTTTGTCACACTTGAATAATTGAAGTCATTACATGCAGAAACTATCATGTTAAATGCCTAGATACATATTTAAAGCCAATAGAGTTTAAGTTTCAATTTGCCACCTAGGATCCAATCTCATCACTATTTGGCCATCATGGTGTTCAAAATATTATAATGGGATAAGCACATCTCTGCTGCCTGAACATGTGAGCTCAGAAAATAGAGTAAATCCTTGATACATTCTGCAGCGTGCTTGAAAGATCACATGTGCAGCCGCTACAAATGGAGTTGAATGCCTGATCTAGCTTCCAGCCATCATCTCCTTGAAAGCGTAAAAGCATTTTTTTAAATCATAGTTGGTACAAAAAACTCTTCCATGGAAGTTTTATCTAGTGTCTATACTATCCAAACGGGCTCCCAATACCAAGTTAGGCCAGTAAACCTAATATATTTTCAGAGTGTTGGTTCAGGTTTGGATGTAGGCTGCATCTTAAAACTGTTTTGATGATTTTGTGCTCCCAAGAAACCCTGTTTCTTTTGGGGTGACAGGATATATATGGATCCTCATTCAGGCTATAAACACATGGAAAAGTTGAATTTTATCTCTTATATTTAGACACAAGAAAAACCAAAAGTGGTAGATTAAAATTCAACGGTTCAGGGCATTTTGATCAACTTCAGAAAGTAGTGTATGAACGTCAAATTTGCTCTGAAAGTGTGTTTTACAACAAGTTTTAGTTTTACATAAAGGCCTCATCGATCTTATTAAAAGCTTATATATTTGGATTCTGTCATTCATCTGAACAAATGTGATCAAATGAAATGCTGGAATTCTAAACATTTATTTATCTGTGTTTATTGCAAAGCTTTTTATCTGCTGACCAACGTTTTTTTTTTTTTTTCAAGGTAGGGGATAGTGAAGGGTATAATTTAATCTTGTTGCTGGTTTCAATTGGTCAGTGGGTCATCAGTGCTGTGGGTTTTCTTTTACTTGTTTATTTACTTTAAACCACAGCCATATTTCTCATTTTACTGAAACAGCTATGCACCAAGTGCCATTTCTGTAACCACAATAGGGGTTGACTGTGATACACCCGCTGTCTGCAGCACTACCAGCCTGGCGGGGAGATATTGATTGGCCCTGACAGAACCAATTACATTCAGTGACAGATAGAGACATGGAGCGGTCCGTAGAGAGAAGGCCAGTGCTAGAGGGAAACACTTTCACTCTCTTATTCTGGATAGAAAAAAAAAAAAAAAAAAAAAAAACAACCCAAATTCTGTGTTTAGATGTATATTATCTTTTATACATCTACAGTCTGTGTATTTTTTTCTGAAGACAGTAGGAACAGAATCTATACTATTTGATGTTGGAGCTGAATATTAACCGTTTAAAAGATTAACTATTTTCAACCTGCTAAAATATATAAAATATTCATCTTATTTTATACATACAACTCACCCAAACCTGTCAATAAATATGATATATTTTACATCTTACAGTAATTTTGCTGCAACCAGTTAGTTTGTTTTTCATAGAATAAGGACTGAGCATAGAGTAAGACTGTTGATTATCCATAAATTCAAGTAGGGAGTTCGTCGCTTTACAACATTGCTTTTGTTTCTAGAAACTTGTTTGCAATGATATACATTTTTAAGAAGAATTAAGAATTTTGAAATGAAATAATTTTAGATTTATTTGATTCATGCAAGGAAGAGTGTTCTTTGGTGTTCTCTGGTGTTCTTTATATTTATGAGTATTTTGCTTTAAAATCTTTTCACTGACTACACAGTCGTTCTCTCGGTTCTACCTTCCAATTAGAGCTGAACTGGCCTATTGTGTTTTCAGTTGTACCCTCTCTGATCTGGGTCACCTGCCATTTTAAAAGGTTAGTCATTATATGCAGAGCTTAGTCATTTTCTTCTCTTGGTTTTTTCCATCTTGCTTGGTTTAGACAATGTCAAGAGTTTCCAGAGATTGTCAAGAGATTGATTTGATGCAGTCACAATTAAACATAAGTTTTCTTTTTCAAAAACTTTTTCTGTCTTTATTATTTTCAATTTTTTTGCAGGGCATGTGATTACCAGCGTGTGCCAGCCTCAATCTCTCCTCTCCCTTTGGGACCAAGTGGGGCCAAGAGATCCCGTTACTCCTCCCATTCCTACTCCAGCAGGCACAGACGCAGTCGAGACAGAACCCACTCTAAAAGCTCCAAAGCCCAGTCCACAAGTTCAAACACAGCCAAGTGTGAGTGGTATGAATGAGTTGAGGCTGATATATTTAAACTATTCAAAACGTTTAAAAAAAAAATACAATTACTTCGATTATAACTCTGACAAAGGCATTGTATTACCAAAATAGGTAGCTTTGGTTTATTGTTTTCTGTCCTTCCTCAAAATCTAAAATATATAATTTGAAGAGCAAAAAACTAAGTGTATGCCTCCTTTAATAAAAGCAAACAAGGTAAGGCAGCCTAAAAAAGAGTGATTCCACATTCTCTAACAAAAAAAATCTAAGGACCATAATAAAACAGAATTTAAGACAAGAGACAAATACAATGAATATGCTGACATGAAAATAAAAATAGAAATGATAAAATGCAGATGAAAAAATAAGACACCAGAAAAGGAAAGAGTTATAATAATAATATTTAAACACTATAGAAAACAAAAGAAAGATCCTAGTTTAAATGAGCCAACCCTTCCTGGACATTTGGGGAAGTTGGTTGCAGAGATGATGCACTAAAAAGCAAAATTCAGCTTCCATTTTAGTTGAGGGTTTGTGAAATCACAGTAAATTGGCCTTTAGTGGTTCAACATATATGTTTTAATACTCTATGATGGGACCATAATAATTGGATCATGTAGAAAATAAATGCAGATGGTTCAGTAATGGAGCCATGAGGAACACCGCAGTCAGATTAATAGCTACCAAAAGAGAGCAAGTAGTGTCAGCTAATCAATAGACCCATACCATCAGACAAGCATGTAGAGTCTCAATAAAAGTGACCATAGAACAGTTCCCAGGGGAACTCATTCCATGTTTTATGCAAATGGGTCAAATTCAGTCAAGTTCTAGAGGCCTGGCCACATTTTCTATGAATTCACATGTTAGAAAGAACGGTCTGAAGGGCAGCATAAAGCATGTCAAATGCTTATCATATAAGCTGTACCTGTTGTTTTCCAGTTTTGAAGGAGATCTCAGTCTGTAGTACATTAGTTCTCAAAGCAAGTCAACACCCCCCTCATTAGGGACAGAAAAGACCATGTAGATCAAACTGATAGGAGTTTGATCTACACAAAAAAGAGGTTAGGAGAGGAATAAAGGAGGTAGAGATTATGGATCAAGTTTGTGACTGATACCTGAACATGTCGTACCTACACAATGTTTACACCCCAAAAAGTAAAAGGCAGCTTACCTTCTTCTAGCACTGTCAACATATTGCTGCAAAGTGTGTAGTTTTCCAGATACCCTCAAACTTTGCCTCTAAATAAGCTTATCTTTGCTGAATTTAGTAGCAGTGTTCACTTACTGGCCGGACCGTAACTAACTGAAAGGTACTTTAGGTTCTTTTTATCTCTGTGTAACCTGTTTCCCTTTCCCTATGTCTTACAGTGGGGATGGAGGAGCTACAGGTGATTAAAAAGGAGCTGACTCTGATAAAGACACAGATCGATGGACTCCTTGAAAGTCTTGACAGGATGGACACACAGAGGGATGACCAGAAAGGTGAGGTACTCACTCAGAACGACAGTGGAGGCACACGATCAAATGATAGATAATCTACTGGTGCATCAAAGTCCTTTTAAAATGGACTCAGTGCAATCTACCCTACTTTCAGATTAATTCTAGTCTAGATATTTCAGGCATCAGTCCAAATAATAGTGATTTAGAAATGGTGCTTTAGGGGAAAAGGAGGATGGGAATGTGATGCATGAATTGAGCCACTTCTCTTTCAAATTATAAATAGGTGACTTTCATTATCCACTAAGGATATGCTTCAAGTTGAATTCACATTGGTTTAGTGGCACAGTCATTTTGCGCAATAAAAGTAATATTAAAATGAAACAATGAGTGCAGCATCTAATACACTGCATAGATTCTGCTGCCATCATGTGGAAACTTCCTGCAAGTAAAATATGAGCGCCTTGCAAAAACATTTTTTCACATCGTCTAAACTACATTTGCATGTAATACAATTTAGTTTTAGAGGTTTTTTTTGTTTTGTTTTTTTTTGCTTTAGGTGTTTTTTATATGAGCAGCAATAGAAAAGCTGCTAAGAAATCAAATTTAGAGCAGGGTTAGGTTATAAACATCTGTTTAATCCATTTTCCAAAACATGGAAAGACAGTCTGAGATATACCATGGCATTGTTATCCATCTAAACAGTCAAATAAGGCAAGGAGAGCACTGATTAGGGAAGCAGTTAAGAGTTATTTCATAATTTTGGAGGAGCTGCAGACATCCACAGCTCAAATGGGAAAATTATTTTTATCAGACAGCTATTTGTAGTGCATTTAAAAGATCTAGGCAAATCTGTTCAAGAGAGGATAAAACCATTGGAAATGCTGTTTGATGAAAAGCATGAAGGAGACACTGCAAACATGTTGGAAAAAGACCAAAGTGTAAGTATAGCCCATATCCAAAACAATGTGTGAGTTGAAAAACTATCATCACGCATACCAGACAGCATATCCCTGTGGTGAAAAGGGTTTTATTGAATAATGACATTCAATTAAGGGAGTGGATGGTGCTAACTAAGGCTAATTATGAAAGACAACATTGTAAAAGTAAAAAAAAAAAAGACTGGGAGAAGGTTCATTAACATCAGGACAGTGGCACCAAGAATACAACCTGGGCTACAGTGGTTTGGTTCAGCATGACATGTTGGAGTGGTCCAGTCCAAGTTTGGACAAAAATTGTTTTAATATAAAACCTGAAAACCGACGTATAGCCACTTTTCTTTCAATCTGACTGAAATTTAGGTATTTTGAAAAGAAGATTGGGCCAAAAATGTACGTTTCTGGACTGAAAAAACTGATAGAGAGACGCCCCAATCGTCTGAGTGTAATAATCATTAAGATAAGAGCAGATAACAGAATAATGGGCTGCATACAAGGTCATGCCACACTTTTTTTCATAATAATGAAAAATATAAGGACTTGGAGGCTCGTTCCTGAGAGCTCCATGGACTTATGTTTAACAAAACCTCTTTTGACAGACCGAAAATTTATGTCACAGCATCCCAATATAAAGAAGTATTTTTGTTTCCTGTTTGGAGCAATCTAAGCCTTCTGTGGGTTGCACCTACCCTGAAAGACCTTAATGGATTGATAGCTCTGATCCTTTTATTAATTTACCCCATCATCATTCGACTCGTCTGTCTGTCACCATCTAGTCTGGACGTCGTTCACCTCCCTCATCTTGTCACCTTCACTCTGAGGGTCTGTCTTTCATTTCCATAAAAAATAAGGTGGTAGTATTTTGCTTTCTAGACACTGCTACCCCAAATGCTTTATTTCAGCTTCTCATTTCTAGGAGTGTATCTCCTTCTTCCTCTGTTTCAGACTCTCCCCTGAGAGAGGACAGTCCGCTCAGTCTGTCCTATGACGTGACGGCCAGCAGTCCGGAGCATTCCCTTTCTTCCCTTTCCCCACCTAGTTCCCATCATCGGATCAGGGAAAGCCCAGACATGAAGGTGTGATGATGACTATATGTTTTTTAAAATGGGTTATTGTATTGTATTTTATCATTATATAAAAAAAAAAAATTAAAAACACGTTAGAACTGTAAATTAACAGTCATATGTTTATATTACTGTTTTTATATATAGTTTTTTTTTCCTCACTATTTTTCAAGGCTGCACTTTTAAAAAAGATAAAATTGTCCAGTGAGCTGTTTCCAAATGAAATTTCTTTTTGTTTTTACACTTGTGTAAACAAAATGACAAATAAAATCTGTCTAAGTCTAAGTCTAAGACTACAACATGGTGCATTCCTTATTGTTTACAAATATCAGGAATTTCTGTTTGGTTTTTTGGTTTTTATTTCTAAAATTGTCGGTTTAGAATGAGACAGTCCAGTCTGTCTTCTAAAGTTCATATGAACCAAGACTGTGAAATCCGGTTATTTTAATAGAAGGAAATTTTCCTGAGTCATTCTGAGCTGGCAGCTTATAAACCCCCTCCTTGTCTTTCCCCTCCACTTCCCTGTCTCCTTGTCTTCTTTTTGTCTGTCACAGATGAGCAGCCACAGCTTTGACCCCGAGGAGGAGATATGACGGACAAATATGAGGAAAGAGTAAAAGATGGGGGTTAGGTGCCAAACATGGATGAAGAGAACCGTAAACCTTCAAGTTAATGCCCACCAACAAAGCCTAACTCACCGCAGGCTGGACATATCAGATCAGATTCCGTATTTATTGTTACCACAGCTGCTTGGTTTAATCTAACCTAGAAACAAGGATGCAACAAAAAAAAAAAAACATGTGAATTAAGATAAGCTTAAGAGAAAGAGGGTGATGCACTGATCCTATCTATAAAGCAGATGTAAATTAAACCTGGAGGCTGAGTGAGAATAACAGCCTCACTTTTTATTCTCAAGACATGGATCAATATGAAAAGCAATTTTTCACACAAATCAGATTTGTTGCAAATGAATTAAGTCTGAACTCTGATCACAATCTTGCTCCTTTGTTTACTTACATATCCCTCATTTTAAAAGAAGACGTTCATTTTCAGCATTAAACGCTAGATACACTGTTTTTTTTTCTTTGTTTTTAACAATTGTGGAAAGAGAAAATACAACCAGGCTGAATAGAGGTCATGTTGGAACAACAAAACATATGAATATATGAATAAATCTGGGTGGATGCTCAGGGTCACAGATCTGCTCGAATGTCCCTTCACCCCCATCTCAAGTCTTAAACAGAATCTGAAAGGTTTATTTATTATATTTAATCACAATTCCCCTGTATTTAGCTCCAGCTTTCATTACTTTGCTGAAGTAAATGATCCCCAGAGCACGATGCTGCCACCACTATGTTCTAGCTTGGAGGGAAGAGGTGTATCCAAATCGATGAGCAGTGTAAGTTTTGCTCCATACATGGTGCTGTGCACAACTTCTGAAGACCACAGGAACTTATATAGAGTTACAAGAGTAAAGGGGATTCAATACACTACTCTGCATGTTTTCAATTTGTGTTGTTTAAAAGGTTTAAAATATCACATTCTTTTTCTGTTTCCTAACAACAGCCTAAAACTCTCAATGAAATACACTAAAAGTTAGTTGCTATAACATGAAAAAATGCGAAAAACTTCACAAATTATAAATACTTTCGCCAGGTGCTGTACTTTCTTTGCACCAGGAGTCCTGGTGAAAGATTAAAGATCCCTCCTGCTACACATTTGGCACGTTAAAACATGTAAAGGCTCTGATCAGTGTGTAATATTGTGTATTATTGTATACTCTGATGTAATTGTTTAGCTCTTGGAACCTAGCTTCATTTAGAAATTCCTGTGTAGTACTTTTTTTAAGGAAAATTATTATGTTATACATAATTGTATAATGCCTCTGTTGTTACATGTTTTGGTTTGCACTATCAGGATAAACCTAGTGGAAATACTTGTTGTTGCTGTGGTGAAAGTATTTTCATATTGACTATATATGCAGCACATTGTGGTGTGTTTTTATCTTGAAAGACTATGAGAGAAATGGAAGAATAAAAAAAATGGTTGATGAAATGATGTCAAGATTCAACAATGATTTTTCTGGTTTTAGACATCATAGCATATAGAAAGGAGGGAAGCTGGGTTTAACTTGTGTCTGTTTGCTCAAATCTCACTTTTCACTCATTCTTTCGGCGGCTTTAGTAAAGAGGAGCCCTGAATATAAAAACACTTCCCTCAGAAACTTTCAATCCATGCAAGTCTTGATTTATCTGTAATCGCACACTAACTGCACAGAGATGTTTGCAAACAGCAGCTTTTTTTTTTCCTCATGGAGCAATTTCTCTGAGCGTTGACTCTAAATATCTGTGTCATTATACATCATCTTGGCACCAAGCGCAGCAGAAACAGATAAGGAACTTGGATGCTATTTTTTAAAATCTGTATGCATTACGGCACCAGCTTCTTTTATCAGAGGCATACGACATCCTGTTGATTTGCTAAACAGACATAACATCTGATTTCTTTAATAAAAATCCTGAGAAAAGGCATCAAGCACTGGCTCTGTTAACGACGGGTACGCCTGAGAGAAATCAGTGAGAGAGAGAAGAACAGATCCATACAGCTGAGATAATAAACTCGCATCAAGCAGCAAAATGACCACGTCTGCTGTAATGGTTTATATTACTCTTTTATTTTCATCAGTTTACATATACTCATTGAAAAATAAATTATTAGGGTTTGTTGAAACCATGTTTTTCAGTTCTAGACACTGTAATAAGGCTTACTTGCTGGCATTGATAGAATCTTAGACAAATCTTTAATATATAATGGCTGCGGTCAATTTTCAGTCACAAGTTTGCATGTTTTGGAACCTAAGACTGGAGTACCCAGAGAAAATCAACCGTTCAAAAAGCTAATCACCAAGCCATGCCTGTTTGAACATGGCTATCTTGACATTAAAGATTTTTTGAAAGGTAAGTTTATTATTTTCATAGATCCAATAAGTCCAACAATAATAAACAGTGAACTTTTACGTCTAATAAATGTTCGAAGAGCTGAATGAAGAGTGTGACCAAAGGAAACGCACAAGAGGTCTACTGTTCACAAAAAAATCTGTTATGTGTCCTGAAAGCCAAACAAAGTGGGACAGTCTGCAGGATGTTACAGGAGAAATGTGTGAAAAGTCTGATTCTGTTTCTCAAACCACAAAATGTAATCAAATTTCATACTTAAGTCCAATGACCCACTTTAGATCTTATTTATAAGTGAACATGAGCACATTCAAGCTGCAGCAACGGGAGAGACACATAACCTCTGAAAGTACGGTAAGCAGGAAGTTTTTATTAGATATATTGTAAATCTTATTTTTCTGTAAAACAAACAAACATATCATCCTTGTTTCATGATTTCTTGATATAGAATTTCTTGATATTTTTTATTTTAAATCTTACAATTTTGAGATAAATGTTTTAACAAGTTCTTTTTTGCTTAAAATAAGCTCTTTTTTGTTACATTTCTATGTAACAACTAAGATACATCATGAACAAGTTTTCAATGAAATTGCTATACAGAAAAAAAAAGTTCAGCTAATTAATGTTTTCTTTCCACAATTTTCAAATTTAACAGAACTAAACTGAAATCTGAACAAAGCCAGGTCATAATAAATAGTCCTATTTGCTAATTGTTATAACAGTTAATTCAGATTTTGCAGAAAATTGTTTATTTGGTTATTTAAATATCCTAAATAAGCAGGTCATGTCCTGTTGGTCGTTACGTGTGAGGTTATTGTTTTTATTTTTCTTTGTATCCTCCTTATTTTTTTTGTCTATTTTTTTGATACTGTTTTATATATTTTTCTTTTTCAGTTTAGGTTTCCAATTTATCCTCCATTTGTTATTTTCCACTCAGGTCAAATAGTCTTTATCACCATTTTTTTTCGGCCTCTGCTGCATTTTGTTTCCTTTGATGAACTGATCTAGTTAGTTTTCTTCCCTACCTCATTTTCAAAGCTGTTGGCTGCTGTCTGTTTCTGGCTGGATTCTCCCATTGCCATGCCTGTTGTACCACGACATACCACCTGTCTCCTGTTCATGCTCCATGTCCTGTTCTACTCAAGCCGAGCTGTAAGGTTTTTGCCTTTCTTTTTTTTTTTTTCCTTCACCTCTGGTTTCTGTCTGCATTTGGGTGCTACTGATATACATGAGATACATACTTGTCTCACACATATCTCACAAATATATATATATATATATATATATTTATGTGAAAGTGAAAAGTAAAAAAGTTAAAGGCAAGCTGTGTTTTCTGTTTCTGTAGATCACAATCATGTCAGGCTCCCCTAGCCCTCTAACCACTCACGTGTTGAACACGGCCCTGGGTGTCCCAGGCTCAAACGTGAACCTCAAGCTTTTTCAACAAGATCCTTCAACCAGTGCCTGGCACTTGATAACCACAGGGTAACTTCTTTTTTTAAAATAGAAAGCTAAGAAAAGGTATTTGCCTCCAGTTATGCATTTTTCAGTTTGCATGTTTCAGATCATCCATCGTTCAACCAAAAAAACAGCAGAAAAACAGACATTTTAAATAATTTCTTTTAAGATAAAATAAGACTTTCCAGACCAATTTCCCTCTAAGGTAAAAGAAACATCCCTTATACTTAAAGGTACAGTGGCGGATGTTCTTTATCTGTGTGGATCATCAAAATAAGTGATCCTCCTAATTGTCAATCGTTCTGGTGATATGTTTACATAAGGCCGTCCTACGTACTCATCCTCATTTTTACTTACCGGTGGTGAGACTGACATAGTGGAAAATTTGCAAATCTTCTTTTGAAAGTAAGCTTGTATCAGCAATGCAAAACAGCAACTTTTAACAGAGCATGCATGAGGAGAAATGGGCTCACGCACACTCTCGCACGAGTTTAATGGGGAGCGGGTGCAGAGTTGTGCAAGGGCATTTTTGTGCAAAGGGCAGGTCTTTTAAAAAATTCGCAAATATCCTCCACCTTTAACACCTGTTTGCACTATCTTTGGCAGCAACAACTGCCACCAAGCTTTTAAAATTACTAGGAAGGAATGTAGATCAACTCATACTTACATAACTGGTTTAACTAAGTGGAGAGTATTCATCCATGATTAACCATTATAAGGTCACACCAATGAATCACAAAGAGATTTAAGTCCTAACTTTGACAAACACATTTCAAAGTAAGTTTGTATAACAAGTGTGCTTAAGCTTATGCTTAAGAGAAACAGACATATGACAGTGACCATGATTCATGGGTTTAATAATTACATGTAATCTAGAACCTGCAGCAGTAAATCAGCCCTTTATCACCACTTTAACACAGCCATGTTTAAAGGAAATGTTTCATGTCTTTTTAGTTTTATGCCAGATGTAACAGAAAACGCATTTTTAATGGATTCAACTTCCTCCTGTAGGTTTCATAAAAATTTCCTGAAACGCCTGGAAGGTGTGGTCAGAAAATGTAGTTTCTCTTATTTCATATATTGATTTTTACATTGTTGATTTATGCTATTTCCTTACTATTTTCACTCAGTCAGTTTCACCTGCAAGGCCACACAATGTTTTGCATACAAGAAATTCTTCTTCCCATAATAAACCAGATTCTTTCTCAAGGTTTATTCATAACAGATTACTGTTTAACCAAAGTCTCTGTAATTTGTTTTGACTCTGACAACTTTACATTATTGTAAGTAAGGGGGAACAAACGCTGCCCAGGATGAACAGTGTTGATTACTGTGCAATAAGGGCCTTATGATGAACTGTTCTCTCTTTGCAAAGATAAAAATTAAGCGCTGACTTAGTGAAATCCATCGATCTCTGTTTATTTAACTGGGGTGAATAGTTGAATACTTTTTTCCCACTACAAAGGTTAATCACCATTTTATGTTTACTCAATTTATGTGGCTTGCTAGAGTCCAAAGCTTTAGAAATGAACCTATTATTTGTATTTATTTTGCTTTTAGTATGAAAAGGATGTGTTAAATTTGAAATTTTTAAATATTATTCATGTTATTAGACAGGTTTTTATCTAATGAAGCTCTTGGTTTTAGAAATCTGACAGTATTCAGAATATCTTGCCATCAAGATGAAATGTCGCAAGATTTGCGAATTCACTAGGTCCACAAAATACTGTGTGGAATTCAAATTGAAGTAGACAGATCAATCTGGCTTAAGCCAGGTTAGCATTCAGGTCAGGCTGAAGCTATAATGAATCTGAGCATTTCCAAAACATTTGACCAAATGCGGCAACACTTGAAAGTCATCTCAAATTGTGCTGCCTCTTCATGTGCTCTATTCGCACTCTATTCGCAGAATCTGTCAGCTATTCAGTAGCCTAATATTTTTACGCTTTCAATCCATTAACAATGAAGAGAGGGAAAATTTATTTACAAAGCATATTGGTTCGAATATGTTCTATCCCTAAATAAAAGACATCAGTTATTGTGTTCATTTTGAATTTTTTGTGACGATCTGAAACAGTGCCTTCAAAAACTGAAGAAATATTTAAGGAAAATCTCCAAACCTCAAATTATACTACTTTTTTTTTTTTTGTTCTTGAATCCGAAAAACATATGCTTTCTCAACAGGACAACAAATAAGGATGGGCGATGTCCAGGGCTGATCACACAGCAGCAGTTCAAATCTGGTGTGTACAAATTGCATTTTGAGACCAGTCAGTACTGGGCCAGTATGGGACAGGCATCCTTCTATCCCTATGTGGAGGTAAGGAAAGGCCAATCATATTTTTTTCAAATGCATTTCTGAGATGTTTATAGTTTTGTTGGTAGCAAAGAAATGCCAGTAATTTAGTGAATAACATCCCATGCTTCTAAATAGTCACAACTGTCACAACTACAGAGCAATGAAATCAACCCTCTGCATTAAACCCATTCCCTTGGGGAGCAGTGGGCTGCCATCATGGGGCGCCCAGGGAGCAGTCTTAAGTGTATTTTGCTAAGGGAGCCAGAGTGACAGTCTGTGGGAGTGGGGCTCAAACTCAGAACCTCAGGATTCAATCCCCTAACCACTAGGCCAAAATGACCCAAGGTGTTTGGTAGACGAATGTAATAAGATTAGCCAACTACATAACTATTTCAATCTGGAAGTAGAAACTCTAACCATAAAGAAAATAAGGACTTTCTGTTTAATTCAAGCTCTTGTTGCTTTATTATTGTTGGTACATAAGAACATTTTCATTCTCTTTGACATTGTTTATCTTTTGATGGCACTTTAGATTAACAAATGTATTTATTCATGTATTAATTTATTTGTCTTCATCTGTTTTTAGATTGTTTTCACTGTGACTGACCCGGACCAGATGTACCATGTCCCTTTGCTGCTGAGTCGTTTCTCCTACAGCACCTATAGAGGGAGCTAGAGAGCCACTATCGAGACCTATATCACTGCTTTAAGAGCGACTATTCCAGATGTATTTGTTTATCTTGCTTAAACAAAGTCTGTAAAAATAAAATTCAAATGTTTCTCAAACAGATTAAACGGTATGATGAAGTATTGTAATCGAGCGAATGATGATCTGAATAAAGCATTTGAAAGTATTTAAATGAAAGTATTCTTTTTTGCATGTAGAATATCTAATTTCTATTTTATTACGTCGGAGTAATATTTACAATTAAGGAGCATGAAAACACAAAAAACTATTCAGGTTTATAGCAATAGGTCTCTACCTTAAAGTTTAGCAATAAAATACCAAAGTAGTATGAGTGTTTTACTGTATAATTATGTGAATCGTTGTAAATGTATTTTTTGTTAACCTTACCAAAAAGCGTAAAAACCCCACTTTAGAACAGGCGCTATTATTTCTTTTCAAACGCTCTAATTGAGATAAATCAGCCAGGTAAAATGGTTTAAAATTGGGCTCTAGCATATTAATTATATTATGATATTATGGCTTTGTTTCTTAGGTAAACTGTCTATTCGCTTTGTTTAATATCAAACAGGAACCACACGTATTTCTGTTTCATTGCTGAGTCTAATGTATTAACCTAATTAATTAGGTTTGAAGTCGCTCTTCTTTGTAACGCTCTGTGCTCCATTACTTTGGCCTGACTGCTCGATAAATAGTTTCTGTTGTTGATTACGTTCCTGGATTTGGGCAGCTTGTTGCCTACCCAAAGAAATATGAAATAGCATGATATTCTCCTTCATGTTTTATTTGTAGGCCTTCATTTATATAAACAACTATGACAGAGGAATTAGAATTACAGGCGGTAAGAAAGCAGCAAGCAGCGGAGGAACAGGAGACACAGCGCGGGGTGAGCCTCTCTATAGGGATGTCATTTATTGAAACGCATTAAAAACACTAATTAGGCTCTTTTTAACTATTTATATTGTTATTAAGGAATAATAATGCAGATCGTAATAATAATAATAAGGCTACGAACACAACTAACCCGATATTATTATAATTGTATTTTAATTTGATTATAATTTCATTGTTTCCAGCCCTAGTTATATATATATATATATATATATATATATATATATATATATATATATATATATATATGTGTGTGTGTGTGTGTGTGTGTGTGTGTGTGTGTGTGTGTGTGTGTGTGTGTGTGTGTGTGTGTGTGTTGATTTCTGACGTATCCCTCTTTTCAGGGTCCTTCAAACAATCACCAAGATGAGAAACCAAAACAAAGGTAAGATGTAGCCTAACTGAACTGGTCTAAAGGTCAAATGTTATAAAAACACAACAAAGACTAGCTTATCTGAATGTAGGACCCAGAAGTTGAGGCGAGACAGAACGTGTGAAGTTTCAAAATGTTTATTTACAAACACCAAACACGGAGCTGTGGATCTATCACAGGGGCTCTGGTTAGGGAGAGAAACACAGGTAAGTGACCAAGATAATCTGACGGAAGGTGATTATCTGTGTGAGTCACTTACCTGGTTAAACAGTTCAGTCCATCCTCTGGAGTGAGGCGGGATCCATCTGATGGACTGCCTGCGAAAGCGGCGGGAGCCGCCCAGATTTCCCAGTTTGCAGCAGCCTAAGTGAACAGGTAGGAGTCTGAGACAGGTCAAGGAAACAGTTCAGAACAGGACGGTTCTGAATCCAGGAGTCCGTAGCCCCATCAGGGGTTCCGATCTTAACCGGAACAGACAGTTTCAGGATTCCAAGACTCCAATAAAGAGTTCAGGCAGAAATGTTTAGATGCAAAAAGGCAGGCTCAGTAGTTGAGAGGCAGAACAAAAACACGACATAAGGAAAACCACATTAAACTAGTTCCCTCCACTTAGCCAAAACAGAAACAAGGCACGCTCAGTGGATAAGAGCCAGGAAAATGATCAGGAAACACTAAGACTAGACTAAAAACCCTCTCTAACCACTGGCCTCCGAGAACAAGCACATGAACTATGGAAATTAACCATGAACTCCAACTAAAACTCAAACAAATAAACTTGATAATCTGGACCTGATAGCTGGACCAAGTCATATATTAAGCAGTAGGAGCAGGTGGATGAGATGAGTGATAATTATGATGTTGCACCGATGCCTTTTTTGGCCCCAATACCGATACCTGGCTGAGCATTATTGGCCGATACCGATACCATACCGATACCATCTGTTTGAAATTGATGTGTGTGTATATATGAAGAACTGCATACTACTTGGATGTAAAATAGTTGCCATCATGTCTTTGTCAAGCTGCTGCCCACCTTTGTGAAGCAGGAAAAAGACTAATACAAAGTGAATCCAGTAGATCTTTTTTATTGCCTACCTGGAATGGGTGACAATGGTTGAATCAACTTTTGGCTCTCAAAATGGTATCTGTGCCCTATTTGTTGGTACTCACAGATACCGATGCCACCATTTTAGTGCTGGATTGGGGTTAGGCATGTGAGTGAAATGAACAATTAGGTCAGCTATCCTGGATCATGGATGAATGCTTCTAACTGTAGTAATCATGTATTTGGTTTTTCTTACCTAGATATTGCTTTAGTGGAAATAAGCTCTCCTGACTTTTGAAGACAGCATAACTTTGTTTTTTTGTTTTTTATTGCTTTTGTTTTTCCTGTTTAGTTTTTCCTGTTTTTTGCACTGATGTTGTGACTTTTGCAAATTTCCACAATTTAGTAGTTTTACCTATTTAAATTAACTGTAGATTTTCCAAGTTTGAACATATATATACATGCACCCCAAGAAATATTAAGTCACACCTATTTTTGCAAACTGAACCTCGACCACAATCTAAGAACACTTTAACAACTACAAAATTTGGTGGTGGTAGCAGTGTCATGCTGTTTTAACGTTCAATTCCATTCAATTCAGTTTATTTATATAGCGCCAATTCATAAAACATGTCATCTCAAGGCACTTTACAGTTCACCAGATCATACAGTCAAATTGATACAAAGTTTTCTATCCAAGGAAAACCAGTTGATTGCATCGACTCATTGACTCGGATGCAATCCCTCACACTAAGCCTGCTTGTAGCGAGAGTGGAGAGGAAAATCTCCCTTTTAACAGGAAGAAACCTCCAGCTGAACCAGGCTCAGTGTGAGCGGCCACTCTAACTATAAGCTTTATCAAAAAGGAAAGTTTTAAGCCTAGCCTTAAAAGTAGACAGGGTGTCTGCCTCACGGACTAAAACTGATAGTTGGTTCCACAGGAGAGGAGCCTGATAACTAAAAGATCTGCCTCCCATTCTACTTTTACAAATCCTAGGAAGGACTAGTAAACCTGCAGATTGAGAGTGAAGTGCTCTGTTAGGAACATAAGGAACAATCAGA